TTACACAATATTTGAGGTTTGCTACTGATGGATATTTAAAGTGCCTGGATTCATAGACATTCATCCCTGAAATGCTCGTCCCAAATTTCAAGCACTGTATACTATTAAGCACTGTTTTTTAAAAGAAAATAACCCCCTAAATTAGTTCTTCTTTAAGCACTCTTCTATTTGTGAAGTTAAAGAAGCTGTCAGCAAAACAAAGGTCCTTATTCCCATCTAATGAGTGAGAAAAGCACAGCAGGATTTGGGGTAATGATTTGCCCAAAGCCCTAAGCAGGTTAATGTTTTCAGGCCACTGTTTTATGCTCTGGGTTCCCCTGCCTGACACTTACCAAGCATATCTTGTTTATAGTCAAGAAATTAAACTGAAATAATAAACCAATCAGTTTTATATTATTAACACCTCTCTTTTTCTGTGCTTTATAGACGAGGACAGTGAGACAGATGTGTTTACAATGTCCAATCTGTTGAACCTGAAAATAAAAGCGTGGACTGATTAACCTAAATACAGTCATCAGCTTATGGAGTTGCCACCATATTCAGTGTCTGCCATGCAGCACTAGAAAAGATTTTGTAAAGCAAACTTCTGCTGAATGTGCTCATAAATATTAAGAATATTCTTGATATGCTACACTGAAAATATTCAATCTGAGCTGCAAGCAACTAGTGTTGCATATCAATTTTTGGAAAATGCTAGTATTTGTATCCAGAGATCCTACCAGCAATACAAAGTGGCAAGATACTGAAACTGGCAATACAATGCCTTATGCAATTATTTTGGGTCGAAGTATCCCATTGTACATAAATTCACATAATGAAGTTCAGTACAAAGCAAACTAACAATGAACTTGGCAAAGAGAAACAGATCAGCAGCTGCACTGAGAATTCAATGGAGAAAACTATTTTAATGCTCAATGTGTACATAAAATTGTCTTAGAAACTGAAATGCAAATAATATACATTAAAATTAAAATTTCTTAAAATAAAATTCAGGCTTGCTTAAAATATAAACCAATTTCAGAATCAAGGTTTTTAAAGAGCTGTGATTAGCTGATGAGAGGTGTTTTAGACAGATGATATAGTAGCTGGCACTGTATCATTATTGCCTTGCTTTCTTTTTTCCCCACACTGGCTATTATAGTTCATATATACAACTCTGAATACACTTTTTATAAAATCTTTTGGAGTTACATTAAAGAGTCAGCAAATGACACAAAACTTGTCTTCCTCTATGGAAGGAGGAAAAATGGAGCATATTATGCAAATATGAAGCAATGCAGGCATTACTCAACACAAACAATCCTAAACAGTATAATTTAAAAGCACAAATGCAGTCATTGATTTTTAATAACTGCATTAAAGGTCTCCATTCTAAATAATTACATTTTGGAGGAAATATCTTTAAATGATGTTGTGTCTATTTAAAAGAAATTAGGAGAATATTATACAAACAAGGTGAGGAAAATATATTTTGCTGTGACTGTTTGTTCAAATACCTTCCCTCCCCCAATATTTAAAGCAGACATTACTAAAACTGCTACAAAGAACACCAATTAAAAGAGGGGTTTGATTTGCTTGTATTTTAGAAACAAATATTTAGAGATTTTTTTCCTTTTCTTTTAGGGTGAATAATTAGCCAAATTCATCTTTTATATGCTTCCATAAAAACACCTCCACCTACTGTTTGCTCTGAGCCCAGGTGGGGCTGGGGGACAAGCAGAGAGTTTTCAGAAGAGGGAGATGAGCTTATGTCACCCAATATTCACATGCTAAAGGAAAAGACTGGTTTTGGACCTGGGGAAACCACTGTCAGGGTCTGCCTATAGATGCAAACTTTATTCATGGATCAAGCAGCTGTCAGGTGAGCAGCCAATGATGATGCCATCTAGCCAGCCTTTATTTCTGTGGTGAAGCCTGCCTCAACACCTGGACCAGGACAAAGCTTTGCTCCCACAAGGTGTCTTGTCTCCTCCCCAAAGTGGCTGTCCTGACCTGTGGAAGAGCTGCCTTTTAACTGTTCCAGCAATCCTTCAGGTCATGTGGATATTTCAGCAGTTCCCAGGTATTGCTGAACCTGAGGCTTTGTAGGGCAAAGCCTGACTGGAGGCAGGCCAAGAGAGGTGGGGAAGTCCCTCCCAAAATGGGAGCCACACGGTTAGAAGAGAAAACCTCTTTGGAAGATCAAATGTACACCCCCACGAATTTCCATGTCAGTTTTGAACCCTGCTTGCTCTGCCTCAGCATTAGAATAAGGCTGAAAGTGTGGACTGAGATCCATCACTGGCTCTGTGGCACTGCCAAGCCCAACACTTGTGCTCTTTGCCACCGGCCAGGAGGAAGTGCAGGAGCCTATGAACCTTCTGCCAACATCAAAACCTGCCTTGCATAACCTGCCTTTGCAGCAGGTGTCCACTGTTGACTGCAAAGTGGCTCTGGAATAAAAAGTATTTTATGGACCTTTTCTGGAAAAAAAAAAAAGAAACTAAAGAAAATAAAGAAAATAAAAGAAAGAGGAAAAAAAGAGAACACTAGATGAAAAAAAATCAACCAAAATTTTTTTAAAAAGATGAATGAGGGAAAAGCCCCACAATGATGTCTGCTTTTGATCTGCACACCTTCAAGCTGTACAAAAAACACAGAGAGAATAACTACTTGGCAGTCCACTGTCAACACTTGCCCACTGATATTCAGAGTGACTTCCACCTGTACCAACTACCACTAATCACTTCTAAAAGCTGCCAGCCCACAGCCTGCATTTGACCTCCTAGATTTCTAGTCTGATACACTCTACATCTCAAACTTTTAATTAAAAGGAGAAGAATAAAAAGAAGTTAATCCAAATAAATTCAAATGTAGCGTTTCTCCCAATTACTGTGAATGCAGAGGTCATCATCATGTTGCATCATTACACTGAGGAATAATCTAGCATGAAGTCCTATAAATTAGCTTAAATAGCTTGTGTGTTTTCATCCATAACAGCATATTTCATAATGATATAGCACTGCTTTTCTGTGTACAAGGAACTAAATTGAACAGGCACATTACATCTATTTTTTAAGAACTTTAATGAGAAGAGCTTGATACAAACCTTCCCCCACCACATATCTGTGAAATTTATACAGAAGAAAAAAAAAAGATCTTACTTTCTGGCTGCACATTAGACTCTGATGTTTTAGACTGTCTTTTTTTTTTTTTTTTTTTTCCTGAGGAATGCACCACATTCTTGGCACTTCTATTCAAAACAAGCTTGTGTTTTAAAGAAAAGGGTTCAGTATTTACAATGGCATATATAAGAAAAGCACTGACAGAAAAATTTGATCTATAATTACAATTTCATCTAAGGAATAATCTATTTTAAGAGAAATGGTAATAGTATGAAAAGTACAAACCAATCCCTGCATTTGAATGAAGGGGTGCTAGTTCAGGACACTATATTTCAAACCTCAAATACCCTACCTACTCTTATGTCCTGACAGTGGATGACCTTTCCAAAAAAATTCCAGCACAATGCAATTATATGGTATAAAAAATAAGAATTCTTATAGAACCTATGTTGCATGCCGAATTCTTTACAAAAAAAACCCAATAAAATAAAATCAGAGAGAGCTCCATCAGTTTTGTTTTGGAACACTGGTGAGTACGTGCATAATGACTTTCCCTCTTGAAATGTTTCTGCTTCATTCTTATGCATAGACTTGAAGGGTCATTTATGTGTTTGGCTTGTTGCATCAATTTAGAGTTACTGTAAAAATTTACATTACTGCAGGCTTGTAGTGATGAAGCAGGCAAGCATGAGAAAAAAGCTTTTATTGCTTTTATTTTAGATTTGATGGAAATGTGTAGTCATTTAGTATGACAACAGCCATCATGAAATTTGATTTGTTTATTGATTAAATTATGTTTTATTTAAGCAGAATTTTTGAAAGCATTGAAATTTCAAGATAAAGCACAAATCTGACCTATCCATCCAGATGGTGTTGCTCCTGAATTGATCGTGTATTTCAATCTGCTGTACCCACTTTAGTTTATAGTTGACATTTGCAGCGCACCAAGGACACTTACTGAAACTCAAACTTAATTTGAGTAAAACACTACTCTACATACTACTCTCCCCATCAAACTCTTTTATTAAAAATGGGCAAAAAAAGTTTTCATTTTTCCTAGAATGCATAAATTGCTTGTAACAGAGATGGCCCTTCATTTAAAATGGATTTATAGAATTCTTCAGTAAATAAATATATTTTTGAATCTTGATGGATTAGGTCTTACTGTAACTTGCTACTCTGTTTAAGGTCTTGGAATCACAGGTGGATCAATCCTTTGGTGCAGATAATAAGGTGAAGGACAGATTTTTAAGAACTAAGCAGTGCTAGCTTTCAACTAAGGGTGCAGCTTGCTGGCAGCCCAACTAGACCTCTGAGCTTGTCCCCCACTCCTGCCAACAGCTTTTTTTCCTGTCTTTTTGAGGCACAGGCTGAGTTAAATTTGGGCTGGAAGAGTTCCCTGAACCTGCATGCAGGTGCAAAAAAAGAGGACAGCGCTGTGCAGGGACAGATTTAGATGGCTGAAAACACTATGGGTCACCTTGGTTTGAAATGCACCATGTGTTTCTAATAACTAATGCAAGATTCAAACACCTAAATTCCCAGACATGTCACTCTTTCTTATATGCAACACTACCCTCATTCATCTGATTATTCTTGATTTATTTCTCACTTCGGTTATTCCAAAGGACTCAAAACAGAAAAACATTTAGTTTCCAAATCAAATTTAAATGTGTGGGGTCCTGTTATTGGGTTTTTCAAGTTTTTATTCTTTTTATTGAGTTATTCAAATCAATGAAGATATTTCAGGTTCAATAGTTTCTAATTTTTTTTTTTGTCTCAGTAAAACTACTGTATTACTAAAGATACCAAACCAGGTTATAAGATATTGAAGACTGCAAATATTTGCCTGCAATATCAATTATAAAGAATAGGAATTAAAATCATTGTCAATACCTGTGGTTAAAGGCAGATGAGTGACAGTAGTTAGACAGGTGAGAGTGAACCAGGTTGATGCTAATGTTGCTCCAGATAAAAGCAGCAGCAGTATGAACTTCAGCATGCCCCTGATAAAATCTGCAAATCTAAAATAAAAACACACATCAGAGCAGTACAAATGCTGATTTTCATATTATTTAAATGTGATGCTTGACAATTAATTGAGTATATTATCATTAAACATTTTGGAGACTATAAAAACAATTTAAAAGTATTTTCTCATTTTCAGAAATAGAAAAAGGTATTTTTATAGAATGGTGATATTTCTAGCTGTCTAGCTGAAGAGCCATGGGTTTTTTAGCTGTCACAAAGTAACAACTATACCAGAACAATTCTCAAGCAATTCTCAAGGCATCAAATGAAAACACTGGAGGAGAGGGTTTTTTATTTCCTTCTACATTTGTTGGACACAATATCTCACCACTACTTCCATCACTGTTTTGTCAGCATTTGCCAGTCTCCCTTGGCAGACACAGAGCTCCATTAGCATATGAGGAGGCTGCCACGTTTCATTCAAGACATAGTTAAGTGTCAAGATTCATTCCTGTGGGAAATGGAAAAACTCAAAAAAAGTCCAAAGAATCCCTAGCTGAAGATGACAAGGAACAGCTTCTGAACCCTTGGATGCATTGGTGGTGAAGCTTGTGGTGGCTCAGACAAGGAAGGAACTCCTTACACAGGGGGTCACTCTGCCAGGGCTGTTTTGGGTTGAAAGGTTCCAGAAACCACAAGCTTGGTGCTGCTCCTTTTCTACACAGACCCTGATGACAGACTGGGGGAGGAGGACCCCACAAGTCCTTGGGCAGTCTGGCTGTTATATAGAGGATATTAGATATTTATACCATCTGATGCTACAATTGCCTTTTTCATCTTTTTCCCCCCCTTTTTCTTTCAAGGAGACAGAATGCTTTTGAGCCAGGCTCATGTGGCATAATTATCAGTGCAACTGCTCTTTTCAAAGGGGATGTCAACCTAACTACTAGGAAAGATATATTAGAAAAGGCAATATCATTTATTCATGAGTAATTTTCTATAATCTCCTGCTTAGGAGATGTGATTTTGGGATGGACAGGTTAGCTATGTATTTCTAAAGCCTATCTTCTGCCCCCTTGACAGGCTCCTACCTTGATTAGGCTAATGGCAGTATAATCCACCTAGTTTGGTCCACGATTAAATTTGTCTGTCCACCAGCTGCCTTCTCTGCCCTGACAAAGATCACTCTATAAGCAGATACCTTATAGCTTACTTGATAAAACAGGAAATGCTGCCAAAATTTTGAGAACTTCCAAATATAGTGTAAGAGACGTAGGAGTAATGCACTCAAAACACTCTTTGCTCCCCAAAACAACTTCTTTCCTTGTATTTTGATTCTCCCCATGCCTGAATTCCACATTGAATTTAGCAGTGAGTAATTCAATAAGCAGTAGTGGGAGATCAATGCTGCATATAATCTGAGAAGTTTATGACTGCAGTGTTCAAGTGGCTTATGCATTCATATCCAATAGCCAGAGGTCAGCTGCTACTGGCGGATTTTTTTATGACGATCCAATCAAAGAATCAGGGTTGCCTCACTGGTTTGCCAGTGAGTTTCTTTAATTATTCTTTGGGATCACTAGGGTCAAAATCAGCAATTTTAAAAGCTTTGCAGAAGCATCTTGAAGTGTAAGCTTCTAGCTTGTTCCACAGAGACTCCTGCTTTGCCTGCTAGCAGACAACATCACTGTCCTTACAGGCATTAGATCCTGTCTAATGAAACAATGTGGGAAATCTCAGCCTTCTGGGAGCGGCATTCACAGACTACAGGTCTGGGGGTGATCTCTCGAGGATCCTTGGTCTCTATCCACCAAGAATATGTGGAGATGGAAGGTTGATATGCATCTAATCCATTACAGCTAAGTGGAGAAAATACTTACCTTTACCAAGCAGCTGCAACTCTTCCTGACACAAAGATCCCAGTTTGGGTAGCAGTGTGCTCCAAAGAGCTCTCACATACCATAGAACTCCAAAAGGGTCAAATGTACCCCAAAGTAAAGGTTTATTCAGCTATTGGATTCAGCCAGCAATAGAAATAATAGAAAAAAAGATGACATAATAACCTAGCCTTAACTTGGTAATTGAAAGACTTCTGTTTCTTGTCTGGTTACAGGAGAATAAAGAAGACTAAATCTAGTCTATTCTTCATAACACTTGCTTCAATCAAAAAATATGAGAAATTACTTTTATTCTCTGACCCTGTACCTGATTTCAAACCTTTGTTCTGTATAAATCCTTCTACATCATCTAGCATATAAGGGGTTGCTTGCAAGTGCTAAAAAAGTAGGCACAGCAGGAGAGAAGGTGTATTCTTTACCAGACACAGACCTCTGAGCCTACTGCTGGTAACAGACTCCAGCCTCCCAGCAGATCCAGCCCTAGGTTGTATCCTACAGTTAAAATCACAAACCTGCACTGCTGACAACAGTGTCTGTTGCTAAGGAAATTATCACCATGCCATAAAGTTTCAGCATTTTGACTACACTGCAGGTTAGAAGCAGAAACTGAAATTGAGCTGCAGAGGACAAAACCTCAGAAATATCTATAGTCCTTGGCAAATGTGGTGAAAAAAATATAAAAAATCTAAGAAAAGGGAATAGATTTATGTTTCTATGCAATTATATGAATGCTGCTCTTTGACACTGCTGTTCTTCAAACTAGCAGCATTTGAAAGCTGCCAGCAAAGGGTACAGCACCTACCAGCTGCCCAAAATAGGCCAGGCTTTTCAATGATAAAAATGCATCAAACACATTAGCTAAACATGTAAGTTCATGGCTATCAGGACAGCAGTGGGTGGAGAGCAAAAGAATTTATGTATAATGCTGAGGGAAACTTGCAGGATTTTGAAAATGAGATAGATGAACAAATTTCCAAACTGGGCATTACTTTAAATACAGATTATTTAACACCTACTGTGATGTACAGGACCTAATGCTCCAGAGCAGGTCTCAGATTGTTAAAAATTCTAAATTACAGAATGTGCATTGACAAAAATGAAAGGAGCAAATTCCTAAGATGCACCAATTTTGCTTTAACAAATTAGCAGAAAAAAAGAGGAAAAAAACCCACCCCAAAACTAACAGCTTCTTGAGAGGTGGTTAAGGGAGAGAGCTGCTTGCTTGGCAAATCACAGTTCTGACACTGAAATATATCAACTTGTCAGCTTTGACAAGAATCATTACTTAATTTTCCTAATTACAACTTTCAGCAGATTACAGTCAGACTCGTCATTGATTCAACCCTACACAGATAAATGCTGAATAGGCCTAGGAGGGAGAGTCATCCATCAGAAGTGACAAATCACCTCCTCCCTCCCTTTCTGTATGCAAACCCTCCCATCTGAACTGTGCATTGCCCAAGTTAGAAAGGCATATTTGGAGACAGACTGTTGGTATTTCTTAAATTTACTAAATGCTACAAAATACAGGCATTGAACAAGGTTTGAAGTCAATTTTGAAGCAGTTAAAGGGACTGCCTACATTTCCTGAAACTTAACCCAGGCAATATATTAAATAAATTAATCTACCATAAAGACTGAGATTTGCATATTGACAGAGAGTTTGCAGATTCTCTCCTAGTAAAGTGAGCATCTGAGCTCCACTATTGAAATGTTCCCAATATACTAGAGATTAACTCATGATGAAAAATGGCAGTCTACCTGTTTCAACATGCAACCTCTGGCATCTGTGTTACTTGCAGCAATTGCTTTTAAACATCTATTCTCTTACAGAGAAAACATTGTATCTGAGCTTAGCTAATCAAAAGCAACTCTTTTTAGAGGAAATCAGGGCATGAACTTTGGCTAGATTAAGTCCTTTTGCCTGCATCTGGAGTGGTTGGAGAGAAGTGATTGTTTCTTTTCCCTAGGTCAGGAGTTTTTTCCTCTCCCTGTTGCAGTTGCTAGGCAGCCTGCAAAATATCAGGATGTGAAACCTCACATTTCTTTATGCATTGTGTACTCTGATGAAGCACAGCGAGTGAAAACAACAGAGTTTCAAAAAGAAAAAGAAGAGAGTCCTAAAAAGATCACTCTCTCCATCTACAACACCATGACCATGCAACAGCTGCAGATACCTGCACACGGAGTCCAAAGAGTGGACACAGAAAAGCCAGGACAATGCTCAGATATCCCAAAGTAAGGGGAACATGTGATTGGTTGTAATCACATAATAAAACTCACTGCTCAGGTACCTCCTAGAAGACTTTTTCTCCCACCCACCATCCCTTTTCCTAAAGAGGACCTCAATGAATGAGAAACAGCAGCCTTTTGGAAGGGCCATCCATTTCTTGCTGTTCCACTCCTAATGTCATCAGCATTTATGATGGCCAGAAACAGCTTGTGTCTGGATTTACAAAAAGCATACAGACACCCATACTACAGCCCATAGGATACAGCAGAAAATAGTTAGGCTATGCAGGAATCCAGCAACCTGCCCAACATGGGCCCAGACTAATTTTTCTGTGGAGGAACGTAATGTTATTGTGGGTAGGCTGCCTGTGCTACATTCCCTATATCCCTCTGGGAAACAATATACCCAAAAGTGGTAATGGAAGGAGACGGAAAATAATTTCTTCAATGCTTTCCAAATGTGCTACAATGAGGTTCTCCCTCATACCAGGCAGCTGAATTCACCAGAGCTGTCTTCAAAAGCAGCATACAGGAAGCCATTGTCAGGAACAAGAATCTGACTTCCAAATTCAGGTATATGCATGTGGCATTCTCAATCCCCAGCAACCACTCACATGGTACAAATTACTGCTTTATTAGAAATACACTATAACCCCAAAAGGAATTTTCCATTTCAAGTTTCTGAAAGATGAGAGAAAACAAGTTCTGTTTTTACGAGGATAAACTAAATGACAATCACAGTTGAAGAAATGGAGAAGGACCTGTAATTATTCCTACCTTGCCATTGCTATGCCAACAACACAACCTCCAACTATAGACCAAAATCCAATCCAGCCTGCATCCACCTGACAGGGAAAAAAACCGAAACAAAACATAGAGAAATGTGTTAAAGCTTAGAAAATAAGATGTTGTTACTTTCAAAACAAATGTTGTGCAGGAGCTCCAAACTGCTAACACCAGCTCTCTACAATAATCTGAAGTGCAAAGCTTTTTCTGGGAAATAAATTCACCACAAGAAAGTATGACTAAGTAGGCTATGCTCTAAATGTGACCTCTCTTTATGGAATCTGAATAATGTCCTCTGTTTTTTTATAATACTCTATCAAAAGCTTAGAAATCATCTTCTCCCCACTTCATCTTTTCCACCGTGCATACATTATTTTCTTTCACTAGAGATGCAGCAGCCAACAATACTTTTACCTACTTCTTCCTTTTTGTTAAAAGGCATGTACAGTTCTGAAAACACTCACCACTGATGAAGAATCAGCAGGGAGAGTTTTGACAGTTTGGGATGCCAAAGCCACAGTTCATTTTGTTTGAAATTTCAGAGTAAAGTGGTCCATATGTATTAACAGCATGTTAAACATAAAAATCTGATGAAACTGCACGCTACCACAAAATAAAAACATGCTACTTACAAAATAGCTACTGATTATCAGTCAGGAGCTACTTACCTGGCTTATATGAATGGGTGTTAATATCAAATCCAGAACACCAGACCAGCCAGAGAAAACACCCAGTGGTATTGCATAGGCCAAAGCAATCATCAAGAATCGGAAATTGCTGTGAAGATAAAAGGTTGCCATTAGCCTCCGCTTATGCCAAAAATTGCACCAACATTAGCCAGGAGAGTAAATCACACCCTAGAATCTACATTCTGCCCATCAAGCAAAGCAAAGGTCTGAAGGAGGAGTGAGCCAGGGAAACCAAGAAAGGTATCCAGCCATGCCACTGAATTCCTAGTGGCTGAAATGCTACCACCTTAGCACTGTGACACTAGAAAAAGCCAGTCTCCCCACATAGTTCAAAGATTTCTGTAAAAAATGCTGGGCTCATATGTTTCTCATTTCTGCAAGCAATTCTCCCATGCATTGGCATGGGCAACCTACTTAGCCTAAGTGTATGTTAGGAATAATAAGCACTAATTTAAAAGATTAAAAGCTTATTTCAAAAATAAAATCAGAGATCCATTCCTCTTGAACTGCACTTAAAAAATAAAATAAAAAAAAAACCAACCCAAGCCTGTTCTAATTCTCTTTATTTTGGTGAAAGGCAAGGAAAGGTCTGGAAATGAGGCAGACACAGTTGCAAGAGTGGAAAATTTTGACAATCTGAACTAGTAAAAACCAGAAACAGATATAATACTCTAAATAGTCAACATACTTGCTTTTCCCCCCAGGTATTCAACCTTTAGTATTCAGTGTTTAATATTCAACTATTAGTATTCAGTCAAAGCTGTATCATCATCTTCAATGTATAGAGCTAAACAGGAATTTAACCAACAATTTCCCCCACTTACTGTAACTGAAAGCAAATGTGAAATCCTTGCTAAGAGACATCCAAGTTTTCCTCAGAAATGTTTCAAATGGGAAAGAAAATATACTTCGGAAACTGAAACAGCAATGTTTTAAACTGAAAAGATTTTACGGTGATTCCAAGGTCAGTTATCCCACGGGATATCTGTGTAACCCGAAACATGGCTCCCTCTGGTCTCAAACAATTTACATAAAATTGATCCTGATCAGTACCAGTTCCTTGGCAAGCAGTGGCAATTTGAGAGCACACAGTTACAAAAGCCAAGAGGGAGAGAGAGATTCAATTGCTCTCCGAAACATTCACAAGTTTGCAGCTTACGCTGTTTTACTCCCTTAGATGCTCCACACACAACACAGCAGCCAGTGCTTTTTGCACTGTTCTTTTTCACACATCCTCTTCTTGAATAACACATTTCCATAGCATGAACATATCCTCCCCTTTCAATATAATTCATGTCAGATTCATCTTTTAATGCAAAGAAAAACAACACTCAAACTTTCAGCTCTTCTGTAAATTAGCTATATTTCTCTGAATGCTACTGTCTTCCTGACAACTTTTTTCCTTTTTATAGAATGCCATACTCTTATCCTAGTCTATCTTGTATCACCTTGGCATTTGATTTTATTTAATACTATCCATGTGAAAGCCATTTCAACATTTGTCGAATAAAATAAAAGGGAAATTTGCATGGACCTTATAGAGCCATATTGTAGATTGCCAAGAGGAAACAAGTCTGAATACAGTGTTCTGAAATAACATTTGCTCAATATTCAAAATCTTTGGCTACCTGGACCTCCACTTCATTAAAGAGCTACTTTTGGAGGGAGTATTTTGGACTTTACTTGATCAGAGTTTTCTGGCGTGTATTTGTTTTCTGTAACTCAAGCAACAAGACAGACTGTGCTGTGGGATAGCTGCTCTGTGCCACATCCAACCCCTAGTACCAATCCTGCAGTGACAGCTCTGCATGATGACAATCTCCAGGGACAGAGTCTGCTCCCCTGCCTAGTCTCCACAGCAAGGAAGGTGGCCAGGAGAAAGGGAGCCTGGCAGTGACAGAGATACTGATCACCAGGTGTCATTCTGCCCCCTTGCCCAGCAATACCTCAGGCTGGCTAAAGCCATTCCAAACACACATTTTCTGTAGCAGCTACACTTTTCATGGCTCCAGTCACTTGTGCACAGATTTTGCAATTTTGCAATTGCTCCACTGAAAGTAGAAAAATGCGCTGTCTGTCACACCATCAGCCGTTAAACCCACACTGTTTTCTATCCTATCAGCAATGACAGGATATCAGAATTAGACTCTCTGTTAAAGCATTATGCTGGAATATGAATTGATTTTTTTTCTTCTGTTTTTTCAGAAACCTAACGCCACTAGAATCTGTAAGACAGGCTGGTTCAGAGGGGAGCCCCATCAAAGTCAGTCATTGTTTTCAGAGTAACTTTGACAGTGCCTATTAACATCAGGCACAATCTGAGCAGTTTCCATTACTACATGGTGTTGTTGATGAAAGTGTCATTAAAGCAATAATGATGCATAAAACCCCTGATACAAAATTTCAAAATTGCTTACATGGTCCCTAGAAAATATAAAAGCCATGTAACTGGCTAAAAGTATCGTATTACTTCAAAACAAAAATCACAATGCATTTTTTTAATGCAGGTTTTAAAACTTATCAACCATTTCCTTGTATTAGAATTTTTTTTCCATTGAAGTTTGTGGAATATCCTGAACTGGGGAAATAAAAACAAGTCATATTTGCTTCACCCAAGAAACTGAGATAGGGCACCACACATTTTCTAATGGAAATTTAAGCTACACTTGTCACAGTGTGTGATAGACTGTTAAAACATTTGGGCTTAGCTCCCAAACCATGACCAATCTGTTGTCTCCCAATGCAGGCTGAGAGAGTTGGTATCAGGAGATAATCAGACATCAACTAATTGATACAATCTGTCAGAAGGAGGAACCCTCTAAATCAGAAGGAAGATTCAAGTTCCTAAGAAAGTCCCCCAAAAAGGGCCCAGAGGGGATGGCTGACCTCTGTTGATGGTGTAATAACTCTGCAAGAAGCAGCTCATGCAGAAGGCTGCCAAAGGACCTGACGGCACAAAGGAGTGTGGGAGTTGCAAGGATGGGATAGATCCCCTTGGTGTTCAAGGAGAAAAGGTCAGTGACTTCAATGGTAAAGTTAAGCTATGTTGCTTTATTTTGAAGTAATAAAACTGCAGCCTGGTGGAGAAGAGAGGGAAAGTATGAACATCTCAGTTCTCATGCATGTATCTGGTGCATCACTGGGTGAGCCCACCAGCTGATGCAAATACACATCCTGAATGTGCACACAGTTCTTACACCAAAGGGTAAGTCAACAATAAAAGGAAATCATGATTTCCTGGTACTCATCTGCTGGTTACCTTCAGTCTACACCACCAAATCTAATGAAAGGCTCTCTGCGCCAAGATGAAGCCTAGATTAGGCAGGCAACAGAGCTAAGAAGCCTAATGAACTAGATGATGGATTTCTCTTGAAGTATGGCAGATATTTTCTTTTATAAAACTCCCTTGAATGACAGATTGTTACTGAACAGCTCCCCAAGATAAGTGAGTTTAATGATGAACTGTTGATTGTTTCATGTACAGAGGAATGAAGAAGTGCCTTTGATAAAGGGTAGCATGGAAGAATGCAAGACCCAAGGGAAGAGAGATATAATTATCTACCTGTCTACGTTTTCAAAAAGCACTCTTGGTTCTTGGAGACACTGCAAACTATACTCTTTACTTAAAAGTCCAGTTTGTTTTCTTAAGTTTCATTGGTTATTGTTAACAGTAAGCCAGTTTTGCTGTTTACATCCTGACTTTACAAGTATCTCAAGGTCCACTATTTACAACACTTTGAACATGGAATCTAATGGTTATAAAACTCCCAAATGGAGCACTGTCAACTAAAATTTTATATTTCACCTGCAAAGCCAGTTGCTGTTTGGATTACTGTTCAACAGCAACATTTTTACAACACGGCCCTCAGGCAGGGTCTAACGGCATATCAGCTTGGGCGCAGAACAGCATTATTGTGTGTGATAAGTGTCCTTAAGGGAACTGCTATTTTTTAATACCCTGAATAGGTCACTTAGCAGACTAACCACCCAGCTGTACTCACACCTCCTGAGTGCCAGCCTGCTCCAGGATGAACAAACAGGATTAAGCATCTTGCTCCCCCAAACGAAAAAAAAAAAGCCTCCAAAAACAAAAGAGAAGAAAACCCAGTGACAAAGGATGAGTTGTTTTTGCTGCCTCTAAATACAATTATTGAAAGTACAGCCCACAATAGGTCTGTAGTAACTAAATATCTAGAGCTGCACAATTATCAAGCTTCAAGCAGCTCTTTATATGCAGATTCAGCTCCTACATCACTCCACAAACAATTACAGCAAGAGTCAGAAGCTTCCCAGTGAAGTCAGTCATATTCTGTACCAGGGAAACATCTCTCCTTTGTCCCAGAAAGTTCCTCTGTGCAGTATCATCACAGGGCATGGGTCTTCACAATTATTCACCCTTAATATTACAGTTGCTTTAGCTGCTCCTCTGAGACCATATTTGCATTATACAAGACAATGTACAAACACTGGGGGAAGTGGGACTGTGTCTTAGCAAAAGAACCCAAGAGGGAGAAGCTGCAATACTGTCACTGTCTTTATAAACTTTTTATAACCTTTTTATTTAATCTAAAAAATTCAAAGCAAGCTAGCTCACCTTTGAGCCTATCCAGAAACACACCTGAAGACATTTTTCTTATTCCCACTTCATATTTTAACGTACAATTAATGAGATTTACTAGATCATACAACAGTTTTGGATAGTTCATTCATTGCTTCTGTGGTTGAATGAAAGCAGCTGAATAATCCTTCAAAAGACAAGTAAACCCCAAATTCATTTCAATATAATAAGCACAGAAAAAAAATTACTTAGTTTTGCCCAGTGTTGTTCACTGTTTTCTCACTGCTCACTTTTAACAATCTTGTATAACCTGATGTAACAGAAGCATTGCATGAGAAAAGCCATGATAACAGGACGACTAAAGCACTGCTGGTGCTGAAGGACTGGCATGAAGAGTGGAGCTATACGCAGTGGTTTAAAATTTAATGTCTGCTCTTTAGCAGTTAGCATCCTTTTATGTCTTGACATTAATATTTAATTTTATTTTGTTTAAAAGTACTACAAACCAACTTGTTTGCTGAATGAGAAGATTAAAGCACACTTGTTTTTATTTACTTAGGCACTGATCTGCTTTGAAGTGGAAACCCAATGAGGTCCTACCTTAAGAGTCTGCAAAAACTTCTCCTGTAGCTGAGCCGCTGGCTCGCTGCAGCCACGCTGGGGGGGAATGGAGGGCGCGAGGGGAAGTAGGCCAACGCTGCAGAAAATATCAGGCAAACCATTCCAAATTCTAAATAAGAGGGCAGAGAAAAACAAAACCAAGAACAGATGTTAGCATTGAGAGACTTATTTCACTGTGGTGCTGTTATCAGCCAGCCTCTGAGACATAAATCCCATCACAAGTGCTTGACTGCTCCTGACAACAGAATTCCGTAACTTGACGGAGAATTTCTTTCTCCTTCCCCAAACAAGATTTCAAATTGAGATGGAGAATCAGTGAGACTGGCAGTCCATTCCAGTGAGAGGTGCTACAGAGAACAAGGCTCACACACAGGGAACTCAGTGAAGCAAAAGGAAAGCTTTTGCTTTTTTTCTTGAGAGAGAACTGCAATATGAGGATTTGGCCACGTTTCCTTTCAATGGCAGTAACTCAGTGCAGGTAACAGCATGCTAGAGACTTGAAACAGATGGGACTGGGGAAGCCCCAGGGCATGGAATAACAATTATTCATTGCATAAGATGATGAAGGCAAACAAAAGGTCGAGCAAGGTAGCAGTTCTGACACAAACAGCACTACATGGCAACAGAGTATAAAGAGCAAAGTGCAGAAGCAGCCATGGCTCATGAATAGAAAAAGTACAGGTAAGATGGGGGAAAAAGAAAGAATACAGCTGTTTGTGAATGCTCTGCTTGTTTAGCAGCGGGAATTCAAAATCTTTGAAAAATTTCAAAGCACAAGTTTGGACCTGAGCTTGAAAAGTGATGAGTACTTTATAGAAAACAATACGTCCCATGAGCAGGCATTCTGAGGAGAAACAACTCTACCCACAGTCAGTCTAATTAATTTGTTTTACAGGCCTTTTACAATGTATATCATGTTCTCCACAGTCCTCAATCTCAGTATTTCTCCTATCCCCTCTGAAAACAAGATTCTTTGCTGATAGAGAGAAAAATGTATAGCTGAAGTGTGTTATCTTAAAAGAACTTGTGATCTTATAACAAAGAAGTGTTCACTGACAGCACAAATAAATTCCCACAGAGCTGGATACTCAATTGCCTTAATTTTCTCTTTTTTCTTCTCTTTTTTAATAAATCAATATGAACTTGGCACTTTGCCAGGTCTTCTGCTAAACTAGAAGAAAATAAATTCAGGAAACTGAAAAGTAAATAACACTCAGAGTCTAAATAGATCAGCTGGAGATGGAGAAGGGAAATGAATGCCTCTATTTGGCATATGGGAAAAAAGGCATATCAGGAGTGTGACAATGCCATTTTTCATCATCAAATACTAAAAGACTCATTTTGAATTACGTGGTGTCTCTTTTCCTGCTGTGGTATAACTGCATGTTTCAAGGGCCAAGGGCACTTTAACTAGACCTTCTCACTCCTCTGCTCTTCAGAAAACAGATTAATTTCTATCTTTGTGCACATTGTTTTGGAGCCCATGAGCAGTGAATAAAGAACTGGAGGTAACTGATCACCCCAGACCTAAGAAAGGGATGAGATGCTCTGTCACTACAGGATGATTCCACACAGCTCTTTAGTAAAAGATGCTTATCCCCCCTGCTGCCTCTCTACATATAGGTTTACAGGCACATATTACACACATTTTAATCACATAAGATTTAAGACTGCAGACAGGCATAGCCAATCAAGAATGTGATCACACAATCCCATAAATTTTGTCCAAGGTCCCTAGTATTTAATATGTCATACTGCAATGCTGTAAGGGGAAAGATTATGTTTTATTCTCAAGAATCACAAAAATATTTAAATCACAGAAATATTTCATAACAGGTGCCCATCTGGGGTCTCATCTATGCACTGCTTCAAGTTTTCTTCCAGTCAAATTGCTGTAATAGGAGCATTATAGTAACCTTCTTTTTTAATTTTTTTTAATTACTAAGTTCAGCATGCTGTCCTTGTAGTACTTTATTGCAACTCTTTAATGTTTCCCAGTATTACACTTTGCAGGCTAACAAATTTTCCTAGATAGCTCTGCTCTATGCATAAATGAAAAGTGACGAATTCACTGTGGAAACAAAAGCATCTCCTCTGTTGAAGAATACGAGTTTTTAGTGCCATCTTAGCTTTGTATACAATACTTACACCTCTATCAAAACTCCAGGACTGCCAAACACATCTGATTTCTCACATATTGAAATCTTTCCTCAATAGGAAACCCACACCCTTATTTCCATCATTTAATTTACCAGAGTAGAGGAAGAGGAATACAATCTAAATCTTTTCCTGGGCAGGTAAGTAGTCAGTGAAAGTAAGTAAAATCAAGAAGGTAAGAAATAGGTCAATGCTGAGAGTGAGGGAGCTGCAGTCACAAGAGAGGCTCTTCTTTAGAAGCTGCCAGCTTCTCAAAAGTGGAATGGATGCTGTCAAACAGAGCAAAGCACATGAAACGGGGCAACTCATAAATTAGTGTGCAGAGACACAGATATGTACATATCAGTGTAATTGTTGAGGAGTGAAACTGGAATGCTTCACAAAAGCTGGGTACCACGCCACAGTGACTTGTGACATGAGAGATGCCTGCATCTTAGCCCAGCAGGCACCCTGATGCTTGTGTAAACCCCAAACAGACAAAAAGGAAAAAAAAAAAAAAAAAAAAAAAAAGAAAGAAAAAGGGAAAAAAAGAGGTTCACAGAGCCACAAGCTTCCTTGATAACTAAGTATTTTTCCTTCAGACAGGCTACTCAGCACAGAAACCTTTTAAATACCAGAAATCCTCCTCCCCACCTTATTCTGGGGGAATATTCCAGGAGGCATGAGGGCCCCTTACACACACATACACACACTTTTTTTTTAAACAAATAATGATTTTACATTGATATTTAGTAAAGCACAAGGCTGTAAGCCCTGGCTGCAGTCCAGAATAATTCATTTCCTTACATGATTCAGGTAATATAATTCAATCCTGATTTGCTACATCTGTACTACTTGAGCTGTGAACCAGAATGTGCAATAACACAGGCGCCACAGAAAGATGCTGTGGCAATTCAGCTGAGCTCTGAGTCCGTGTTTGAGATAAAGTAACAGCAATTTATTAAAACACAGAAGAGACTGGAGTTAACAGAGCAATTTCAGAATGGGTTTATAAGCAATTGCTTTGTAATCATGTTTGAGCTTAAGTCCTTGGAAAATTTGCACACTGTTGGCACACTACGGATCCCAAGTTAACAACTCACATCGTTACTGTCTTTTAAAAGACATCATCTAACTTTGGAGGCTGCTTATTTAACGCTAGCTCACACAAAAGCAACAAGCTCATTAGAAATGCAGAGTGCTTACCCTGTGAAACTGGCTTTCCCATAGTATCTGATAGAACAAGTCACACCAAACCTGACCACACTTGCTGAACAAGTGGAGAAGTGATTTGGGTCCAGCTTCTTGTTCTCCTACATTCTGCAAAATCTTTACTACTAATCTGTGAAGTCAATTTGAGCCTAGTTTTCTGCACAGCTGTTTAAGGGGACAAATAATACCCTACCACACCTGCCAGGTATTTTTTGTCCCATGGGTGAACAGAGCTATCTGTTCACTATTACCCACCATGGAGCAGCTCTCCTTCCACTTCTGGACCCCATGGGACACAGAGAGCACAGGGAAGCAGTCAGAAGGAACCTTGTGCTCCCAGCTCTCCAGGGAAACAGAGCTAAGCTGAGACAGAACAAATCCCATGAGGGATTCAAAGCAAACTCCTCTTTGACAGTTCTTTGCAATTTTAAACCAGCTGGAGGTTTTCCATGATTACTGTGATTCACTGCAGGCCAACAATGTTCACAAAGCAGCTCTCTGTTATTGTCTGAACAGCTACAGGGTTTGCAGCTCCTGAAAATACACATCCCATAGGACACAAACACCAGTACAAAGAAGCTATCTCTGTTCAAAGCACTTTCAAATACTAAGTGAGAAATACAGATGCCCCACAAAACACAATTCCTAGGAGGCTGAAGAGCTGCTGTAGGATCATTTCTTGCTGGGACCAGTGATCCCGAACACGTCTACAAGGGTGTTCCCACACCCTTGCCAGCTCAAAAAGGTAGAAAGAGCCATGCTGAGATGTGAAGCAGGCAAGACCTGAACCTTGGTGGCAACATCCATCCCTGATTCTGAGAAAAATGCTTAGGAAAACCTCCTGAAAGAGAACAGACGAGAAAGGGAATCTAATGCACTGCTGAAGGCAGCATTTCTACTGCGACCAGACTCAAGACAGTGGTTTCAAGCACAACACAATATTTCCTTAGGCAGATGAATTCTTCCCTCTCCATGGAAAATCTGCAGAGGGAGAGCTAAAGCACATCTCAAATTGCTAGGGTTTTCCTCCCCCTATCTACTGCTCCTCAGGACAAAACCTGACTTGCTTTCGTTTTTCCTTTTTTCACACCAGACATTTTCATCTGTCTCAAGATTTTCAGAGCCTAACACCATATTTACTTGTGAAAAAGGCTTACCCAAACCTGAATTTCCTTGTTTTTCCATTTGAGTCTGGTAAAAAGTAGCTCACTCAGAAATACTTGCTGAAGTCATGATCCAAATTCTATTACACTTTCTTTAAAACAAACATTAAAGTGGCCCTCACCCAACAGGAATATTAACTTGACAAATTTCCATAAGGATAATGTCCAGGAATAAATGATCACAAACAGCTAACTCGATCCACTAAACCTCCACATAAACTACGCAGTATATATATGTTAGGACTTCTGGAACACTTACTCCTGGCTGGATTTCAGAGAATGCAATTATAAGAGGGGAAAACCCCTATTAGATGTGCAACTCTTAATGCTGTATAAATTTATATTCACTAAAACTTAGAATGTAGAACACTTTAACCACTAAACCCATTCTATTTCCTTAAAGTTTGCTGCTAATTTTTGTAAGCGACAGGAAGAGGCATAGAAGCCATCATAATAAAAAGAGCAAGGATAAATAAATCCAAATTTTATCAGGCGAATTTTATATCAGTGATTTTTTTTACACTAAACTGTTGTCACTTCATTGAAATTGCACACCAGTAAGAATTACGTGGGTTTAGCTAAAAAAAAAAAAAAAAAAAAAAAAAAAACCCAAAAAAAACCAAAAAAAAACTATAGTGTTTTAATTTCAATGTTTCTGATTCTGTAGATTCTGAAATACTAATTATCTAATCACTTTTGAAAGGCATATGCAGGTCATAAATTAAGACTCAATTAATGCAGAATAGAATTTCATGCTAAAAGACTATTGAATTTCCATCCTTTCGGGAACAGTAGAAGAAACCCAACTTGTCATGTAAACACATGTTTAATGAGAATTCAATAGGCAAAAACCAGTTTGGAAGCTCAGGGAAACTCTAAGACGACATTTCTCCCAAGATCAGCCAATATAAACAACAGAATGACTTCTTTTCGAGCCAATCTGTACAAAAAGCTATTTCAAAACCTCCCGTGACTTGATTATTTTCCCTCCGTGCGAACACCCGCTAGAGGGTGGTGGCTCCCAAGCACCGAGCCCACGGGCCGGCAGAACCCTCTCCCCACCCGAGCACACCTGCGTAGAGCACGGCCTCGATGCGGTCCTGGATGCGCGGCGCGCTGCGGGCCGCCGGCGGCCCCGCGGTGCCGTTGGGCGGCGGCACCAGCAGCGGCCCCACCAGGAAGGCGGCGGCCGCGCCCAGGTAGTTGAGCAGCGAGGCGATGGCCGTGGCCGTGGCGCGCTCGTCCGGAGAGAACCAGGTGGTGGAGAGGAAGGGAGCGGCGTTCATCACCGTGGGCCCCGCCAGCCCGTTCAGCAGCTGCCCGCCGTGGATCAGCCTGAAAGACAGAGCACACCGCGGCAGGTTGGCGTGAGAGCTGCTGGCTGGGGAGTGGTAATTAAAAACCCGCGTCAGGTTCCGAGGGATGGAGATGGAGCTGGTGCACAAAGAGATGAAAGCCCCGTGTGAAAGGAGGATATTCTATACACTAAAAGAAGCCAAATTAGATTGATTTAAAGAATCCGGAGCTACTCCGATCTCATTACCTCATATAAAAGGAGAAGCAAATGTTCTCTTCAAAGCAGAAAAGGGAATAAAAGGGACTTTCTTTGCAGGAAAAAGGTAACATGACAGGATATAAAAGTAGAAAAGGTGTAGTAGCACATGTGAAAAATGAGTATTTTATGATTGGCTTTTCGCAAATGTTACAATGAATATTATATGTGTACTGTTAGAAAGTTATGCTGTATTAATTCTCTTAGCTAGTGTGTTAAATACAGTTTTAAGTTACAACATAATGTTGAAATAGAAACTCTGCAATGTAGAATTTTTTTACTAGCTCAAGCAAGAGATGAGATAATCAAGAAACTCCTCACACAAAGATGGCAGTGACTTGGGGCCCATAAAGAGTCACAACCTCCTTATCAGAAAAGACAAACATTCTTCCACCTTCTCTCCATCTTTATGGAACCACCAGGATTAAGGAGAAAAAGTTGACAAAAACCAGAAAAGTTCTTAATTTGCAAGGAATTTCTGCATCATATATGAGATATATGAATATGCAACAGGCTATTGCTTTTAAGGTTATTCCTTTGTTCACAAAGTATGCTTTCTGTGACTTAGTACTTAGTGTCCGAGAGCATCCGCACATCCATAATTCTTTGCTTTTTATTGTATTGTAATTGTCCTAACTCTAAATTTTATTACTCTAATTGTATTATTTTTATAACCATTTCATTATTGTTAAACTTTAAATTTTTAAAAACCAAGTGATTGGCATTTTTCACAGCACAAAAGCTTTAAATTACAAACATGGTAAACCTGACCCTCCTGCCTGCATAAATCCCAACTGAAGATTTAAATTAGTTATGGCAAATCCAAAATTGAAACACTTCAGCAAAATACTCTGCATATTTTTTCACTGCATTATTTATTTTTATTTACACACTCAGATGAGCTCTGTGTGCTTACAGATGAGAAGGCCGGGCTGTTAGGGTTTCCAAAAGAGTCATCTTCTCCAGCAATCTGGCCATTCTCAATATACTGCTGAAACAGCCAAGTAAACCCAGATTTTTCTCATTTTTCACACTCATTGGGATTTAACAGATAAGGCTGGTGACAGAACAGAGATAGTACTTCCAAGCAGTGAAGTCTCTGCAAAGTTTGGCTTAATATTAGTATAATGAACAAATACAGAAATGACTTTTTGAAAGCTCTCCTACATGTGGAATTTAGTCAGGAATCTTCTATTTTGACCTTTCCAGAAAGCAATCAGCCATAGAACACAAAACTATTTCGGAATTTATATAAAATCTTCATGTCTAAAAAACAGAAAGTCACATGAGATATTGCAACCCTCCAAATTAAATCTATTCATTGTGCAATAAAGTGGTGGCAGATGATATTTTCAAATGGGTGGTGTTCTTCTAACCATAGCAGGAACTCAGTGTTATTGCTGCAAGATTTGAGTTGTGAGACATAAAAAGCTACAGTCTGAAAATGGGGAAACATAAGCCAGCATTTAGGCAGTGTTTCAAGCCACACATGGCTGAATAATATACAGTGTAGCAGAAGTTTTTTAAAGCACAGAAAGGAACACAATATGCAAAAGAAATGCCTACAGACTCTTTATCCAATTAACAAGATAGATTGCAATATAAAGGAATAGACACTACCGAGTCTCAGTGGATTGGAAATTAATTTTTTAAACAAAATTTATAAAAAATATACACAAAAAGAAGCATTATTATATATCATTGGAAGAAAACTCTTTCTGAGCTGGGACAGAAATAATATCCACTCTTACTTATAAGCAATTCACTGTTTCTGGAGGTTTAATCCTCCCACAGAAATCAGGATTTCATTACAGGTGTTGGTGATGTGCTTCAGATGGACATCACCAAGACATGGTCAGGCCTTGTCAATGCCTGTTAAACTGTCACACACACTAAACCAAAGTGAAATCGTTTTAAATAAAGAAAAAGTACTAGATAAACAATGCTCTGGTATTTTTCTGGAGGACACATTACACATCAATCCCCTATGGTTACTCTCCAGTGTACTTGGGACAAAGCAAGGTATCCCTGTACACTTTGGTATTTTTATTCTACTTATTTTACTATAGTAAGTTATTCTCAAACTTTTAAAATGTTCCAGAGTATTTGCAGAGCTATGGCACATCCCCAGAAACAACTGCATTTCAGTAGCAGGTGAAGTAACTACTGCAACATATAATGATTTTATTTTAGTATTTCCTCGTGCTCCAAAGTGAATTTAACACTTAATTTATGCTCCTGTTACTGTATGTTTAGAAAACTGTCTCACCAAAAAATAACCTTTACAGCTTTAGGTGCCATACTACCACTTCTGTTCACTGATACCACTCAGGTATTATTGTTTTAATTCAAATATGCCTCCTCTGTAGTCATCCTAAAAGCAAATAAAACTCAGTAAAATCAGAAAAGAGTACAATAGTTCTGCAGTATCTGTAGTCATGTAGGCACTTCATCTGACAGAAGAATAAAAGTTTTGCAAAAAAAACCTAAATAAACCATCAAAAAAAGCCCCCAATTTATATATTATATACGTGTATAAAATTTTGTACTTGTATTGTAATATATTGTATATTATATATATTACATACTCTTACCACTTCAGATTTAGATTATGTCTATCAAACTCCATCATCTGAATAAAGCTCTATAACCAATCTTATACTCAAAGGGAGAAACAAATGTTAATTTTACTTTGCAGATACCAAGGGAGAAAGTAGCAACTTAATCCAAAATTTTAATTCTATATTAGCTTTTTGTCCTTGTTGTTTTGGGATTGTTGTTTGGTTTTTTTTGTTTTTTTTTTTTTCACATGATGAGCCAATTTTGCCTGTTTCAAGGTGTCTTCAGTTGGTGTTTTCCTGGCTGCTCTCTCTACAGCCTTGTGCTGGCTGGTGTGCTCTGTTCACAGATTTGCATTTTTGGCATTTACCAAGCCTGACATTATCATCCAGGGTAGAGCATCTCTTATCTTCATATTGTTTAATTTCTCAACTCCAACACATTTGAGTTAATAAACACTATTTTCAGACTAAATTGCCATCAATATACAGATTACTACCTCAAATATCTCTGCATATGATAACAGCTTAAACCCCATTTTATCTCTTTTTCAATACTGGCTTGAATTAAGCTACTTTTTCCTGAGAAATAGATTATTTGCATGGTTCTTCTGCACATGCTTAACTCATTTCCCCAGAGAGGCAGGGATGAGAGATTCAAAATGCAATTCAGAGCATTTACTAAGCTGCTGCTCTGGAAGATGTATGTAGCAGCTGCTCCACCTGACACAGAAATATGAACATAACAGTATTGGTGGTTTTTTGCTGTTTGTTACAACATCTTATCAGCACTGCACTAGATTTTGGTCTCACAGCCCATGAGTCTCCTCTCATACACCATCAGTGCTAAAAATTGCTCCAAGACCAAGAGAGGTTTGTTTCTGTTATCCCCTGATTTTCTTCTTGGTTCTGCTACTGAAAAGGTGCAAAGAGGAACTGCATTTTCCTCATCACTATTCCAATTTCATTCTGCACAACAGGTTTTCTCTTTCCTGAGGAAAGGGATGAAAAGATAACTTTAGCTCCGGATCTTACCCAGATGGAAAAACATTTTTCAGTCTCATTGCACTATCAAGTGTAATGTTCATCTGTTATTTTCCCAGCACTGTTTTCAGATGTGTTATTTATCCAATCATCATTTAATTATTTTCATGTATCAAAAAGCAGAAAGCTATTGAGGTCAAATGACAGCAAATAACACGAGCAGAAGGCTTTTTAATCACAATCATGAAAGAGAAAATTGGAAAAAAGTTACACCAGAAATTCATTCTAGACTTACAAAATAATTGATGACTGTAGCTTAAAGCAAAATTGGGGAAGTAAACATCTATCTAAAATATTTTGTTTCTAACTGTCTCAGTGACCAGGTCAGGACTCATTTTGATATGTCAAGGTTTTTGCACATCTGAACTCCCTGCTAATGAATTTATGTGCTCTGTCAAACTTGTAATTTGCAAATGAACGTGAGCCCTTTATGAGCCCTTTTAAAGAAAAAAGAAATTTGGGGACTGATGGTAAATGGTAGTGTGACATATCACATGGCAGAGCATCACAGTAATGAGTTAACTTACATATATACACTATATATCTAGGAAAGTATACATATGGAAAGACACGGTTTTGCACAAAACAAAGATCACTTTTGTTCCTAAATTGGCCTCTGAACTGCAAAAATATAGTACAAGAGACATTTCAAATACAGCAACAGAAATTAGAGAAGAAAAACTCTTACTGCACTATACTGTCACCCTTTTCCCAATTTTTTTTATTAAGTCACATTATAAATAACTTTAATTATGAAGTTTTCACCACTTCCTTGAGAAGACTTGATACTAGTATCAGGAACTGACCTGGTTGTACCTGCCTTATTCACTTCTTGCAGTCACTGTTGGAATATCCTAACAGGCAGCAACAAAGAAAACCACGTAAGGCTATAAATGCTGGAATTACAATATCATTGAGCAAACTGTGTCTGAAAAAAAGTGAGATTACACAGGAGAAAGATTCTAGTGACTGATGATAATATCATACAGTTAAGATGGGAAAGCTTCCATTTACAGTCAGTTTTATTTTTCTTCTTCTCCTTGTACAAGTTGAAACTTTGCATGCATGGTCAGTCACATCAGGTACTGGATTTGTTAAGCTACTTAAAAGCTGTGTGGCACATAAGTGGTTTTTCTAGGTAAAAAATCCAGACACTTTGTGTTCCTACCATTGTGTATCTA